TGTTGATTATTATCAGCGCTACTTATGTTTTCGGTTTTATCCCAAATTTGGTGTTAAAAATTGTAAAGAACCGAAAGCCTGATCTATATGCCAGCTTGAACATGGCGCAGTTGTCAGTTTACAATCTCTTCTATAGGTTCTATTTTGTAAACAGCGCTGCTAATCCCGTCATCTACAGTCTCTGTAACATCAAGTTTAGACGAGCCTGTGTGGGATTGTTCACCTTAACATCAAGAAGGCGGTTGTGAGCCAAATCACTTTGAGCCGGATTGCCAAACTGGAAGCTACATTTGGTTGTGAACTGTATTAGCAGGAACACTTATAGTATGGCTTTTGTTTTTAAATTAGAAGGAAAAATACCGGTACTCGCCTTTAGGTGTAAATAAAAGGCGCAGGTCCTCAACATAAAGTGTCTATTATTAAGATAATATTATAGCTAAATTAATATAATTTTAGAATAATTTAATGTGTACAAGTACATTGGCCCTTGAGACAAAACATCACATCCTCCAAGACTGTTCCCAAATACAACATATCAATATGCAACACATCAATATACAACACATAAAGGCAAAACTTTTTGTTAAAAGAAACATTAGAAGAAGAAAAACTTTACGAGTCTCTGAATGAATTAAAATAGACAGTGAAGCTATACTAGAGACAACTCATCGAATATCTTCTTCTTCCTAATTTGTACTTTGTAATTTTTACTGCAGTATGCACCTGACGAGATACAGCGAAATATGCCAGGCAATAAATTGTGCAATCTATTGTTCGTGTTGTCTTTGTTCAAACTTACTGTGGGGAAACATTGCTTTGATTACATAAAGGTTGGGAAGCACACAGACGTAACCGCAAATACACACATAACTATGACTATTCGTGTCAGCGTCAAGTTGGTCTTGTCTTCGAGTTTTCAAGTCTAACTGCTCTAATTGTGGAAGCGTTTTTTTTAAACGCAGGAGGATCTTGCTAGTTCCACTCGCCGTCATCATAGGCTCTGGTTCCCATGCTTCACAGAGCACAATATAACATGGAGGGGAGAAGGTGCCAAATAGGTACTAACAGGGCTGTTTACTCCTAGTAGTTTGCCCTAGCTTCTAGACTGCGATCACTTTGTAGAACATACAATTTTCAGAATTGTAGTCGGCGACTCTATGTAAAACGGGAGCCGTTGTGGTGTAGCGGCTAGAATCTCCTAGTGGGGCCAGATTTTATTTTAAAAAACAATTTTGGCTACCAGGTTGACGCAGCCTTAAATGGATAAAAGGTAACGTCATCCCCCACCGAGTGCTGTTTGATCTATAAAATGTAGGTCGAACCGTAAAAGTCCAATATGTTTGAGGACCCTTTACTGTACTACATAAAGCAATGAATTTCCACAACTGTACAATCGCTAACGAATCTGTGGAGGAGTACCTGCAGCATCTGCAAGACAAGACCAACCTGACGCTGATACCTGCAGTTGTAATGTTGAGCATATTTGCGGTCACGGGACTCATCGGCAACGTCTTGGTGCTGGTTGTCTACTCCAAGAAGTTTCGACTTAACCCCACTAAAGACCTCATCATGACCATCGCTAGTTTTGACCTGGTGGCCAAAATTGGAGCTAAACCAAGCAATATTCTCTAATGACGCTGGTCTACGGGAGTCGACGTGGTGTAGGCTAGACAATTGCCTACGGATCGGAATATCGTGTGTTCGAGACCTGACGGAGACGATTTTTTTCTTCTCCACAAAATTACCTGGTCCCCGAGGTTGACCTAGCCTTGAGTGTGTATGAAGTGTGGTCCTGGGAAGTAAAGGCTACCGGCTTGATACTGACCACATCACCCAGCAAGTGCTGATTGGTCAATGAAATATAGATCTAGTACATAGGAGGTCTGCTATACTTCCAATAGCCTGAAGGCGTGGAAAATAGTCCATAACCTTTTTTACTTACGCTGGTCTACACACATTGTGCTGCTTTAAATTGTATAGCTGTTTGTTGGTAATTTTGTGTTGCTGCTAGGGCAAACTACTAGGCGTAAACATCCATGTTAGTACCTAGTTGGCACCTTCTCCCCTCCATGATATTTTGTGCTCTGTGAAGCATGGGAACCAGGGCCTATGATGACGGCGAGTGGAACTAGCAAGAACCTCCTGCGTTTCGAAAAGTCTTCCACAATTAGAGCAGTTGACTTTAAAACTCGAAGTCAAGACAAACTTGACGCTGACACGAATAGTCTAGTTATGTGCGCATTTGCGGTTACGTCTGTGTGCTTCCCAACCTTTATGTAACCTAATCAGCAACACAAAATTACCAACAAATGTAATCAGAACTTTTTTGTTTTTGTCAGCTCTAGTTCTCTTGACATTACTAAATACGATCTTCTTAGTGGGGCAATTGTTATGTACAAGCATATTTTGAGGTGCTGTCAGATAGGGTATTGTGAATTGCAACAGATAGTTTAGTTTGTGATTGTGTGTTAGCTTGAAGGTATTCTAATTTAAGTGTTATTACGAGCAGGCAGGTTAACTTACTATTTTGTGTAGCGATTGAATGGTTAGTCATATTTGCTAAAGTACATATCGCCCGATTACTTATGTTTCCTAACGAGATACTTCTTAAGGGGGTATTGCTTGTGAAGAAAAAGAAATAGAAAATAGCCATGTTGTGGGTGTTGCATCAAGGCTAACCAACATAGTGACCTGATCTGTCCGAGCACACTATCCAGCACTGTGTAGAGGTACAGCCGTTAAGGTATAGGTCACTGCTAAAAAAAAAAAAACAGCTTGTATCACAGGCTTTTGGTTCAGACTTGGTTAACGCAGGGAAGCAAACGTAAGGCTAGAACGTGAGTGGCGACTTTAAAGCACTCTGCCCTGGCAGGTTGTGGCGGAATATATAAAGCAAGCCACCTCTGGGATAAATTCTGATATTTTTTCTTTGTCATTTCCTATGTAAGATGCAATTTTTCGTTATTCTGTAGCCCCACCCTGGCTGTTGCCAGGGTCGGTAATATAACCTAACGGTTAAACGCGGTTTTCAGGCCCTCTCGACGGGGATCCTCATCCACATGCACTTTGTGTCATTAGGTATTTGTGATGTCCTGGTGGGGTGAAATTTACTTATTTACTTTGTCATCATCATCATAAGCCACTTCTGTCGTTAAGCGACGTGGGGAGAAATAATTTACGATCCAGTGCAAACTGGCTGCCACTGGCTATTGTCATGCTAAGAAGGCGTAGAGTGTCTTTAATGTTGTCGATTCATTTTCTTGCTCTTGTAGCTGATCTTCTGAGATGTAGTGCTTGTAATGGTATTTGATCTTGCGGCATTCTCACGAGATGGCCAAAATACTTCATTTGCTGTTTCTCGATGAAACTAGTACTAGGTGTCGTTTCCACAATGTTCGTAATAGTTTCAGTATTCACTCGATCTCGGTTGGTTAGGTTGGCTGCTTTTTTCGGGCATCTCATCTCGCAGGTAGTGATTTTGCGTATATGGGCTTTAGAAAGTGTCCATTTTTGGCACTGGTAGCCTTATGTTGGAATGGATATGCTGTTTATAATCTTTCTTTTTGCACTCATAGTTATGCTTGGATGTATTAATAATGGTGACATTTGGTATTTGCGTTAAATGCCTATGCGTATAATTTGACTTTGTTGAATTTGTTGTGTGTAGACAGGCACATTATCCTGTAGTTGATACGAGCCATTGATTTAAAGACAGTAAACAACGTCATTACATTAATGAAATGTAAAACCGAAAAAACCTAACCGCTTTTCGGTCTTTACCCTCAAAGACGTAGCAATCATGTGCAGTGTGGGTAAGCTTGGACTATCGTGTTTCGTCTTCGCCACGATCACCATTTTCATGGATTAGGTCAGTGTTCTTGTTTTGCCCCATCAATGTGGCTAGGTCACCCAGGTGTCTGTCTCGTTGCCTCTCTTTGATCGTTTCCCAATAGTCTTGTGAGCTTGAGAATTGCTCGACGCGCATGTATTCAACACGGTGTTCTTCTATCTCGTTGATGAATACAACTACTGTTTTTTCAAATGTAAATTTAAGCCTAGTTACACACTGTGTACTATTACAACATGCACTAAAAAATGCAAATCCTGTTAATTTTCTGGCAGTCAACGGAACACGTATGTATTCACCGCGCTAAAAAAAATATGTTTACAATATTAGAGTCGGCAAAGGAGGAAGGAAAACCCATACAACTGTCTATCGTATTAAAAAGAATAAATTTTGAAAACAAACATTGCTAAATCTTTTCAAATCTGGTTTTGCCACGGGCTGCAGGCGCATGTCCTGAAGCAGACTCGTGAATATAGCCAGGCAGAGATAAATAGGGCACGTCTGCAAGCATTTGACATTTTTCAAAGAGAATACACTGGAGTGATACGCTTTGTTAGTTTTAACATTGTGTTAGCTGTTGAAAATAGTGTTAACTGTGGTACAGCTTATAGCAAGAGATAACTTAGTGAATTAGGGAGTAAAATACCATTTAAAAACAATAGCTCATGGGACAAATAATATTAGACATAGTTTTATGAGCCAATCGGCCGTCAGTAGGTCAATCTGTAATGCCGCCTTTATTTCTCGCACACTTTCCTGGTTAAATTTTAGGCAAGGTCTACCTGAAGGCTAAGATAATTCAAGAAACAAATCCGTTGCGGAATGGAACTCAGAGCTTTGAGCGGGCGAGCATATAGCCACTAGGACACATTAGCTAGTCACAATTATAACCTAAAGCCACCCCTTCGGGAATGCTGGTTAAACGCCACGATTATTTTGCCTAGCGAAATTCCCGCCTAACTGCCTGCATGATCTAGGAAAAAAAAAGCGCCGAAAAATGGCATCTCAACTCTCGAAGCTAACCACAGACATTATCTCTGAAAGCAGTTGTTTATTTACTGCACGCACTTTATAAGGGAAACTCACCGTGGACCCAAGAAATCGTTTCTTTTTATCAGAAATTTCTCTTATCCAGATAACTTCCCACCAAACAATGAATTTCCACAACTGTACAATCGCTAACGAATCTGTGGAGGAGTACCTGCAGCATCTGCAAGACAAGACCAACCTGACGCTGATACCCGCAGTCGTAATGATGAGCATCTTTGCGGTCACGGGACTCATCGGCAACGTTTTGGTGCTGGTTGTCTACTCCAGGAAGTTTCGACTCAACCCCACAAAAGTTCTCATCATGACCATAGCCAGCTTTGATCTCGTCGCCAATGTTGGGGCTATACCAAGTAATGCCTTTTGTTGTTTGTTTTTTTGTAGTTGCAAAAGCAAGGTCAGTATCCACCACCACCCCCCCCCCCTCGCCACCCCCTCCCGTTTGGGATTTTACTTGGTAATTTTACCTTCAGAAGTTTGTCATTCCCACCGGATGGTCGGCTCTTCACAACATAAGTGCAAAGTAGTCTGCTGCCAAATATTCCAAGCTGGAATTTTCTTACTTACTTACTTACTTACTTGAGGACTTTTCTACGCTGTTGGGCAGATGTTTGCCAGAGAGATCGCCATACTTCTCTATTAAGTAAAGTTAAGATCCATTTTTACGCCTTTAGGCGAATTTTACATATGGGAAGAGCACCCATACTTTTACAGACCAATCGGCGATAGGTGGGTAATGTGGTCAGCATTACGCCAGCCGTCTTTACTTCCCCACGACACACGTTCTGGTACACATTTTAGGCTGGGTCGACCTGCGACGCCCCATACCAGACTTCTCTATTACCTGTTTTGAACTCATCTTAGTCATGTTTCCACTTCTAGCTTTTAAAAATTTTGTATTTACCTCTTCTTGCTGCTATGCCCCATCGCATTGACAATCCCTTTTCTTGCTATCTGCTTTTTATGAAGTCAGGCTGTTGATATCTTTGGTGGTTTATCTTTAGTAGTTTATCTTTCATGGTTTATCTTTGATGGATTATCTTTGGTGGTTTATTCTTGATTGCTTATCTTTTGTGGTTTATTATTGATTGATTGTCTTTGGTGGTTTATTCTTGATTGATTATCTTTGGTGGTGTTTTTTTAACGGATTATTTGATGGGTTATCTTTGGTGGTTTATCTTTGATGAATTATCTTTGATAGTTTATCTTTGATGGTTTATCTTTGACAGTTTATCTTTGATGTTTTATCTTTGATAGTTTACCTAATTCCTTTGTACATTGGACGATAGTGTTTTACTGTGCTGAAGGGCGAACGAGACTCACAGTCCTTAGCGATAAGGCACAAGATAGTAACCCATAAGTGCTCCATTCAACTTCTAACTGAAGCCTGAGACCGAAGAATCCCAACGCAGAGCACGAACTCCATAGCACCGGTAAGGATCCTGAAATATATTAGGCATTTTTTCAACTCCAAATTTGGCCCGGACAGCGTCGTTATGCTACTCTTTTAGATTTCCAAATGCTATGGGATTTTTGTAAGCGCGCAACAATACACATCGGCGCCCGATCTTACTACCCAGAAATCAGGGAAAATTACTGGAAGTCCACTTGAAAAAATACTAGCCTTCAACGGGGCCTGAACCCGGGATCTCCATCACTCGAAGCGGAAGCCATGCTTCGATACCACTAAGCCCCCAATTTCCCTTCAACACAAAACTGGTGTTATCAGGTGAGAGATATACGGAAGATGGGAAAAGAGCGCAAATTGTATTTTGGCCCTCATGTATCTTGATCTGTTGTACTTTGTGGTGTTGGGGTGAAATATATAACGCGATGTCAATATCATCTAATTTCACCTCAATTTAGTTTGGTCCTCTTGCACATTATGATAACAAGGTGAAATATTCCACTAGGTTTTCTATCTCATCTTATCTAACCTCAAGAAATCTTATTTTGGTCTTTTTTAACATTTATGTTCTGATGTGAAATGTTCCACCGCGTTTCTCATGTATTTATATTCTCTATTAGGCGCTTTATTAATAACCTACCCCAAACAGGGAAAATCCACAGGTCACGAAACAGTCTAAGATTTCAGGGGTTGGTAAATAGGCTGCATGCAGTCGTGAGACCTAGGTCGTGAGACCTAGGCTGTATGCAATCTAGAGACCTAGGCTGCACTCTCTCGTGGGACGTAGGTGGGTTGGGGTTAGAGCCAGTTCTAGATGTTTTGGGGTTTTTAAAAGCATCAGAAAGCCGGAAAATCCAGTCTTACCACCCTCTAAAATGTTGGACTGTCATCTGTGGTAGGATATTAATAAAGACCCCTGATTTATCTTACAGGTGAGGTCAACATTATGTTTGACTCATGGAACTTCAACAGCCCTGGTGTATGCAAGTCTAAAGTCTTCCTCGGAGCGTTCACTATTGGCGGCGGAGCCATATCGTTGGTAGCAGTGGCAGTTGTTAGGTTCGTAATTTGTTTATGCATTTCATAAACGGCTCTTACATTCAGTCTTACAACTGACATCATCAGTGCTGGAACTCAGCGCTAACTGCCGAAGATGGGGAGGAAGCGTTTAGGGGATTACCTCGCGTGCCGTGACGTTAGTTTTGAACTCCTAATTGTTAAATCTCCTTTTCGGCCATCAACCTGTTATCCAGGTAATCTGGTAATCACAATTCCAAATGCATAGAGAACGGGGCGCCCCCACAAATGGTCCGTTCTTGTGCCTACGAAAACCTCACAGAATGTCCATCCCTGTCCCCTGTGTGAAAAGTGACACAAACTGCAGACTAGGCATACCCAATGGCATTCACGCGCATTAAATGCGTAACACAGTCGATCAATATGGAGGATATGCGGGTTTACTATTTTCGGTTGTCGCAAGTTTTTGCATTTTAAAATAGGTGATCTTGAATTTTCCTCCATAGAGAGATTAAAGGGATATAGTTTTATCGCCCAGTTACTTAACTGAGTGTATGGCTGGACAACGTGAGCTGCGGATTTCATAACCCTTTACTGCTTTCGCCAGAAAATTATCAGTCTACGCCCTCTTGTTATTTTATTATAGATTCATTCATTCATTCCTTCGCTCGTACGTTCATTTATTCATTTAATCAATAATTCATTCGTTCGTTTATTAATTTATTCATCCACTCACCCATTCACCTGTTGAGATACAAAATATCCCAAGCAATAAATCGTGCAATAGTTTGTTTATATCCTCATAATTTTAATAAAATTATCACAATAACACTGTTTATTTGTCTCATGTTTACAGGTACAGAAAAGTGTGCCACCCACACGAGTGGCAGGTGACCATCAAACAAGCAATTTTTGCCAGCCTGGGCGCTGTCGCTATAGCCTTTCTCGTCTCTATACCTTACATTATTATCTACGGTATAAAAACGAAAAAAACGCCGTGCGATGGTGTTAAGGGATACGAGTGTTTCGCTGACGACTATTACTTCTACACAATCTGGCCTCTGATGAACAACTTGCTGTTTATTTTTCTGTTTGTTTGCTTGAGTTCCTCACTCGTGGTTTTGTACATTCTCATTGGGGTAACTGCCTGGAAGCATAGCAAACAACGTAGACTGATTTTTCAGCAATCGAATCAACGGGGTGATAACAACTCTACAAACACAGGGATCACTGATGATCAGGCAAAAAGCAAAGTCTTACGTCGAGAGAGTGAGCCGTCAAGTTTAAATATGCAAGAGTCGGTCAAAGATGTCCAACAGCTGATGATGAACGGTGTAGGTAAGAACAGACTCAGGCCTCTGTTTTGCTGTATGGGGCAACGGGAAAGCCGTATTAGTGCAACGCCCAGCCAAACATACGTTATAATGAATTCCTTTACTTCAACAAATGACACTGACACAAATGACCTTTCAAGCTCGAAAGACATGAGCCAGGATGATACATGTTCAGAAGAAATTAGCAGTGGAGGAGAAATTACATGTAAAGTGACAAATTCAGAAAACCCTGGCCACAAGATAGAAATTTTAGGCGAGGGTCAAGACAAGAACTCGAAAACAGCAGAAAAAGGTGAATCACCCCTGAATATGAGCCCTGTACCTAGCAAGCCGGTGAACAAGCATACAGATGAAATAAATGACCTAATTTCTAATAACAAAGACCAGTCCAACATAAACAATGCGCAATATAAAAGAGAAACACCGGTTGCTTCAAATTATGAGAATGAAAAATTTGCAGATAGTCAAAAGAAACACGAGTCAAAGAATGAATTCAACCAAAAGCAAACAGTTAAAAAACGAAAATCCAGGTCAACATCTTTGGGAAAGAACAGAAAAACGAATCCAAATAAATCCCTAAGTCGAATGACAATAATGTTAATCATTATCAGCGCCATCTATGTTTTTGGCTTTTTCCCATTTTTAGCGCTGACAATTATAAAGAACCGACGGCCGGAGCTGTATGCCAGCTTGGACATGGCAGAGTTGTCTGTGTATAACTTCTTCTACAGGTTGTATTTTGTGAACACGGCCGCAAACCCTATCATTTACAGTTTGTGTAATATCAGCTTTAAACGCGCGTGCCTGCGACTTTTTAGGTGTAAATCCAGGAGCCCCTTGTGAACCAAAAAGCCCATGAAATGGTTCCTACGTTTTTCAATTAACTTTACTGGAAATGCAATTTGGTCATCATCGTCATTTTAATAAAATAATCAGACAGTTACTAGTGCCATCGGAATTAGAACTCTTTGTTTGCTGCTGAAGATAGGGACGTAGCGCTTATAGGAGTGTACCGAGTGCTATGGTGTCGATCCTTAATTCAACATTTAACATTCCCTTTAACCATCTAAAAGTAGTTTTTTTTTTTTTTGTCTTCCTTTCTGCCACAGAGAGAAATGTGAAGTAATAATGAAATCACATGACTTCACTATAAATTCGCAATCATGAGAAATCTTTTGATGTCCTCACACCAAAAATTAAGTCTGGAAAAAAAGAAAAAAAAAAGGAAAGAAAGCTGTGATACAGTCTCACTGTGCAATACAAAAAGACAACATCAAATGAGCATGCTTGAAACATTATCCACCCTGCTTCTGTTGCAATATGTATCTATTTATTAAAAGAATTGCTAAGTGTTTGCTGACATTTTTAGTGTTCATTTTCGGCTACTATTCCCTCTTTTATTGTTATTCTTAGACTTTTTTTTTTTTTTAAACATCTGCAGTTATGCTTTGCATACACTGCACTCATATTGTTTTTCAAGATCATTCAAGTTTCTTCCGAGTATGTCATCTTAAAATAGATTCTCGTCTTTCTTACAGATGTATGTGAGTCCAGGTATGATTGGGTTGTATGTGTAAGAATATATACATGTATG